GAAGGAGCTCTGGTAGCGAGTGGTTACTAGTTGGATTACTAACTTTAAGGCTAGCAGTTCGAAACTACCAGCTGTTCTGTGGGAGAAAGATGAGTCTATCTGCTCCCATAAAGATTTTTTTTCTTTAATGTTTTATTGTGAATTATGTGCTAGTTTGCATGGGGGGGAACATTAGTTTTACATTCATCCTATCGTATATTGCTTCATTGCCATGGTTACAGTCCCCTCCATGCATTATCAACCAACCAAAGGGTATATACCCTACAAGCCTGCCCTCCCAGTTGTGTCCCATATTTACAGCCTTGGAAACCCTATGCAAGGTCACTATGAATCAGAACCACTCCACAGGGACATCTCCACCATACTCTGGTAGCATAGTAGTTACAAGTTGGGCTGCTAACTGCAAGGTCAGTAGTTGGAAACGACCAGCTGGTCCGTGGGAGAAAATTGAGGCTCTCTGCTCTTGTAAAGGTTTACAGCCTCAGAAACCCTGTATAGGGTTGCTATGAGTTGCATCTGACTCCACAGCACACCACCGCCACACACCACACCACTATACTCTGGTATAGAGTCCTGTTGTGGCGCTGTGGGTTAATGCGCTTGACCGCAAAGTCAGTTTGAACCACAAGGTAGGAGGTTCAAGCTCACCAGCTACTATCCATGGTCACTGTGAATTGGAATAGACTCCACAGTGCTTAACAGCAACAACAACCATACTCTGGAGTCCCTGTGTGGTACAAACAGTTAATACACTTGGCTGTTAACTGAAAGGGTTGATGTTCAAGTCCACTCAGAAGTGCTTCAGAAGAAAGGCCTGGCGATACACGTCTTTAAAATCAGCTACTGAGAACCCTATATTTTAATCTAATGGCAACTGGTATCCTGTTCTAGCTACCTTGTTGGCTGTTGGAGATATAATGATGAAGCTTATTAAATGCTTAATGCATATTTGATAAATAATTGGATGGGTAGAACCAATAGTTTGGTAAGGTTTATCCTGTAGTTTCCCAGTGCAAACTGAATGTCTGGGGAAGTGGTATGTACAGATTGTTGCTTCACTGGGCTTCATGGTTTTTCTGGTGGTGGTGTTAGTTGCTCTCCAGTTGATTGTGACTCATGGCCACCCCATGTATGCAGACTAGAACTGCTTCATAGCGTTTTCAAGACTGAGCTTCCAAAAGCACATCAATTGCCAGGCCTATCTTCCAAGGCACCTCTGGGTTATTCAAACTGTCAACCTTTTGCCTAATAGTTCAGCAGTTTGTGCTATCCAAGGACTCCTTAGATAATGGGATTCTCTAGCTTCCAAATCTAGTGTGCTCTCCCTACAGATGTGACCGGGCAATTTCTGTTATCTTCCTGGACTCTGAAGAGTTGAGAAAAGTAATTACTCCTGACAAATTTCTTGGCTTAGCTGTGGGTAGTCTCTACCTAGGCCCAGTGCTTCTTTCATTTATAAATAGTCCAGTTACTCTTCTCTCTACTTCAGTTAGATGATGAAGGTTTAGCTACTTATCATTGTTACTCAAAGGTTGCATGAGACATTCTTGTTAATTTTGGGAACGGAATTTTTGAAAAGGGGCTATTGTACAGAGATACTCCTTTGCTTATAAACTAGTTGGTTGCAGATCCATTTGTTTCTAAGTCCAGACATGATGTGAATATGTATTGGTTCTCATATACTTAAAGTTTTATTTCCATCACAATTAGACCACTTCCCTTTAAATAGTTTGCTTTTGAGCTTATTGTCCTTTCCAAGATTGTACTAGTTAGCTGTTACAGTAACAAACTCCATATGTAGCGGCTTACAATTTTAATTTTCACATTACATTACGTGGTGGTGGATGGTGGTGGTTGTGTGGGGTGGAGTCGGTTTTGACTCGTGGTGGTGGTGATTATGTGCCATGGAGTTGGTTCCGACTCATAGCGACCCTGTACAGGGTTTCCAAGGCTATAAATCTTTACAGGAGCGGACTGTAAGGTTGGTTTGAACCACAAGGTTGGTGGTTCAAGCTCACCAGCTGCCCCTTAGAAACCCTATACAGGGTTGCTATGAATCGGAACCAACTCGATGGCACTTAACAACAAATCTTTACGGGAGCAGAGAGCTTCGTCTTTCTCCCTCAGAGTAGCTGGTAGTTTGAACTGCTGACCTTGAGGTTAGCAGCCCACCTCATAACCCACTATGCTACCAGGACGCCTTACATACTATATGTTTGCTCCTTATTCCTTTTCATTCTGGGATTCAGGCTGAACAGGTAGTTCCAATCTAAAACAGCAAATCCTGCAGAAATGTAAGAAGAGTCCAAGCTGAACCATGCAATTGCTTTGAAAGCTTCTGATCAACTATGTCATGCATCACAACTACTCACATTCCATTGGCAAACAGGTCACATGGTCAAGCAAGTCATTGAGGTTAGAAAATGCTTAGAAACTGAACATCTCCTACAAGGGTGGTACTCTAATCCATTTGTAGGGAAGGGAGTAAAGGGTTATAAATAAGAATACAATCTGCCATGAAGATGAATGATGTTCATAAAAGCATCTTGAAAATAAGTGCAAACAGTGTAGGCATACCATAGGTTGAATGAACAAAATCTGATGTGCTGTCCCTGAAAGTTACTATAAAGCCCTGAAGGTAGTATGGATGTGACCGGGTAATAATTCCTGTTATGCCTACAATATTTCATTCTCTCCGTATACTCAGAGTTATGGGAAGTAACACTGAATTCTTTCTTCTGACTGTTTAAATCTACTGTCTAATTCCTCTAGTGAAGTTTTAATTTCAGCTACTTAACAAAAGGAGGCCTGGTGTGGCGCTGTGGGTTAATGCGCCAGACTGCAAAGCCATTTGAACAGCAAGGTCGGCGGTTCAAGCTCACCAGCTACTCCTTGGAAACCCTGTACAGGGTCGCTATGGGTCAGAACCGACTCAATGGCACTTAACAAAAACAATGACATACTTATAGCTCCAGAATTTTTGTTTTCTTTCTATTTGTAATTTCTCTTTATTGATGTTTTTTGTTAATGAGACACATTGGTCTCATGATTTTGTTTTAAAAGTTCTTTGTGATTTCCTTTGAGTCTTTGAATATACTTAAAATAGCGATTCCAATATCTGGGCCTCTTTAAGGCCAATTTCTATTAATTGCCTTTTTTACAGTATATTGTTGTTGTTAAAGCGCCATCAAGTCAGTATCAGCTCACAACAATCTTGTATAGTGTTTCTCAGGAGCAGGTGGTAGATTTGAACTGCCGACCTTGTGGTTCGGAGTCCAGTGCTGGTCCTACAGCTCCACTTCTGGTTAGTTGCTACAGTATGGAGAAGTTGATGCTAACTGTTTTTGCTAGTTTGTTTTGGTTTGGTGTTACTGCTTTTAGGTTGGGATGGACTTTTGGAGTTCCTTACTTCACCTTTTTTTGCTAACATCACACTATATTTACATTAATGTGGTTGTAAATTTTCTGTCATAGATTCTGATTCTGGATCGGACTCAGATTCTGATCAAGAGAATGCTGCTTCTGGCAGTAATGCCTCTGGAAGTGAAAGTGATCAAGATGAAAGGGGTGACGCAGGAAAACCAAGTAATAAGGAACTGTTTGGAGACGACAGCGAGGATGAGGGGGCTTCTCATCATAGTGGGAGTGATAATCATTCTGAAAGATCAGACAACAGGTCAGACAACAGGTCAGAGGCATCTGAGCACTCTGACCGTGAAGACAATGACCCCTCAGATGTAGATCAGCACAGTGGGTCAGAAGCCCATAACGATGATGAAGATGAAGGCCATAGATCAGATGGAGGGAGCCATCACTCCGAAGCAGATGGTTCTGAAAAAGCTCAGTCAGATGATGAAAAATGGGGCAGAGAAGATAAAAGTGATCAGTCAGATGATGAAAAGATGCCAAATTCTGATGATGAGGAGAGGGCACAGGGCTCTGATGAAGATAAGCTGCAGAATTCTGATGATGAGGAGGAGAAAATGCAGAACACAGATGATGAGGAGCAGCCACAGCTTTCAGAGGATGAGAGACAACAGCTGTCAGAGGAGGAGAAGGCTAACTCTGATGATGAACAGCCAGCAGCTTCTGATAATGACGATGAGAAACAGAATTCTGATGATGAAGAACGTCCACAGATATCTGATGAGGAGAAAATACAAAATTCTGATGACGAAAGACCACAGGCCTCAGATGAAGAATGCAGGCGTTCAGATGATGAAGAGGAGCAGGACCGTAAATCAGGTAATGCATTCATCAGCATTAAAGTGGTGCTTTGTTTTGTATGAACATTTTATTGTGCTTTAGCTATAAGTTCCATTCGATAATGAAATGGTTTTCAGTAGAACCATTCAGATACGGCAGCAGCCCATTGATTTTTTTCCTACTCTTTTATCACTTTCATTTTCAGTACTGTTTTTTGTCTCTTTTGTCTCCTCTTTCAACCTTTTCTGATCCTGTACATTTTTCTAATTTGTTCTTCCATTTCTTCTCATTCCATATGTGAATGATCAATCAGGAAATCTGTTTTTAAAGTCTCCAGTCTTAGCTGTATTGTGTTTGTACTTTGATGATAGAATCACTTCCATTTCCTTTAGTACCTGTTTGAAGAGCATGCCCCAGCTATAGATAGGTCTAAGGAGGTGGAAGAAAAGCAATACCATTGTACTGTCCCCAAAGAGTGTGGGCATCTTGCTCTGACGTACCTTTTGGGGTCTAGAATTTGATCAACCTGAGCTGATCAGACTCATCAAGGAGTTTACTCAACTAATCAGATTCATAAGAAACTAATGTATAGAAATTTAATTGCAAAATTGTTTCAAGAGGATTAGTTATTTCTCTCTTATTGCCTTCTTTCTCCAAGGGCAAATCTATAGTGGATGCCAAATTATAATAGGAGTTTGCTTGGGTAGCATAAAATCCAGAAAATACGAAGGTAACTGGAAGGTCTCAATGGTCAGTGTTACTGAGCACACATTTACAAGTATCTCAGGATGTTAGTCTCAGGGAGTCATGGAGTCTCAACTGCGATTATGCAGAACTTCTAACTCTGCTCTTGGCACATGCACCTCAACCCTAGGGAGATGTGTTTGGGTCAGGACACTCATTCACTAAAGACTAGGAAACACACAGCAAGTTTTTAATAATAACTGTTTAGACGATTCTGATCAAGTTAATCAGGTCTTCCTATGGAGTATGATAAAATTTAGATGTCACATTTCTTTGTATTACATAATTGTTGTTGTTAAGTGCCGTCGAGTCAGTTTCGACCCATAGCAACCCTGTACTGGGTTTCCGAGGCTGTAAATCTTTACGAGAGCAGAAAGCCTCATCTTTCTCCCGCAGAGCAGCTGGTAGTTTCGTAACCACTATGCTTACAGAGCTCCTTACATAATAGCCATCTTAATTAGGCTGAAAGTCTTCCCTAAGTTAATACCTGGCTTGCTTCAGTTCTTTAGGTGACTGATTATGTTAATTACATTTTGATCCTATTTTCTTAGAAAGTTTAAGTACCTGGGGATATTTTTCTCCGTAGCACATACCTCACAGGATATCACTCAAGATCCACATTCTGGCAGTATTAGGAGGGAGGTCAGAATATTTCCAGAGATGGATACAGGTCTGTGTAAAATAGGGGACTGCAGTAAGTAGTAATTATTTTAGAGTTGGGTTGTTCGTTTGTACTGTCGTCAGAATCTTTGATGTTCATATAGACTACCCACTGTGGTCAATTCAATTCCAACTCATCCTGGCCCCATAGGACAGAGTAGAACTGCATGGAAAGGTTTCCAAGGCTGCAGCTCTTTACAGGAGCTGACGCCTACGTCTGTCTCCTGTGACTGCTAGGTTCCAACTGTCAACCTTTCCAGTAGCAGTCGATCACTTTCATCGTGGCATCACCAGAGCTCCTTCCTGTTTACATGCTACCACCCAAATACTAGCTGGTTAACAAGAGTACGGTCATGTGAGAGAGGCTTCCAACTGATCACGCTGCTTAGCTTTTACGTTATTCTACAGCAGTACAGTTGACTCTTAGGCAGACAGTTGTACTACCCAGATATTATAATACCGTGTTATTTTCTTTCCAACATTTTAAGTTAAAAAAAAAAAGTTTAAATTTTGACCTCCTATTTTTCTTCATTATGTAATGAGCCTTAATATAGATTTGGTCATACATTTCAGTACTAATCTCATTTCTACTAAATTTTTCTGCTTACAGAAACCAGTGTTGTTTTTATATTTTTAAAAATTAACATAAAATTGATTTTTTGTGTGTGTGTGTTGTGTATTCAGTTCTGTTAATTTTAATGTATGTCTGTATAGATGTGTGAAACTATTAAACTACTGTCAGGATATAGATCAGTCCTGCCACCCCCACAAACTCCCTTGTGCTATTCTTAAATCACATCCTTCCCCTACCTCTAAGCCTTGGCAATCACTGATCCGTTCTGCTGCCTGCAGTAGTTTTGCCTTTTCTATAAAGTCAGTGTGGGATAAATGGAGTCAGAATGTAATGTAACTTTTAAGATTGGCTTATTTCACTTAGTATAATGTGTTTAAGATTCATGGAAATTGTTACATGTATCAGTTTATTGCATTCATGTTGATTGCTAAATGTTGTTATATAGCAACTGGTACAGGGTTTCTGAAGCTGTAAATCTTAATGGGAGCAGAAAGCCTCATCTTTCTCCCACGGAACAACTGGTAGTTTTGAACTGCTGATGGTGAGATTATCAGCCTGATTCGAAACCACTATGCTAAATGTAACTTAACTTTTAAAATTGTCGTATTTCACTTAGCATAATCATTTGAGATTCATAGAAATTGTTACATGTATTGATAGTTCATTCATTTTATTGCTAAACAGTAGTCCATCATATGAACTCACCAGTTTGTTTATCCTCATTGTTGCTTTTAAAACCCTAGTTTCCAGGAAGTGATGAAACTGAATGTGCAAAACTTTTAATTCTGTTCTAGAATCTGCAAGAGGCAGTGATAGTGAAGATGAAGTTTTACGAATGAAACGCAAGAATGCAATTGAGTCTGATTCCGAAGCGGAGAGTGATGCTGAGATGCCTAAAGGTATCCCTATCATCTCTGTCTTTAGAAATGTTACTGTGTTTGGGGGAAAGCTGCACAGCAAATTAGGTTCTCATCTGGTAATTTCTATACAAATTGTTCAGTGATATTAGCTACATTTTTCAAAATGTGTTAATGATCTCTTTTCCGTTTCCAGTGCTTTAGTTTCCCTGCCCCCTTGTCTTCATCTTTGCGTTAGAGTAATTGTTGACCTTTTGGTCTCATGTAGATTTGTTTAAATGGAACACTGTACTCACAGATGCTTTATTTTGTGTATGATATCTGCTGTTTCCCTGAAAGGTGACCTCAGGATAGTTTAGGTTTGAGGTTTAAAGTACCTCAAGGTGTTAGTTCTCACGGAGTCATCTAGTCTCAACTGGTGTGGTAAGTCTGGACTTTTTAAGAATTTGAGTTCTGGTCCATGTTTTTTCTATCCTGTTACTTCTTTTAAAGATACTTGATCACAAAAATAATTCACATTCATGGTTCATGGTAAAAATTTGGAAAATGAAGAAAAGTGCAAAACAAAAACAAATTTCACCACTTGCCAGCCAGTCACCTCAACTAACACATTGATAACACATAATATGTATATTTCCAGGTACCTTTTTGCACTTAACTATAGTTTACCATTAACGTAAGAGCCATAAGAAACAGTGTAGGTGTAGGTAGCCAATGTACACAAAAGTTTTACAGCGAAACTTCTGGTGCTTAATCAGCAGCTTATGGCAGTTTGCTCTTAAGTTTTTAACAGGTTAATGTTAGATGAAGAGCTTGATCCCAAGCACTATGCATTAGGTGCAGAATTTTAAAAAACAAACTACCACAAACCAGCGTTAAGTTTATTTGTTGTAAGGTGAAGGTAATATCTATCTGTACAGGTGTCACTATACAACAGTGGTGTTAGAGTAAAAACTCCATCAAAGGTAACTTTGATAGTTTGATTATACATAGCATCATTGTGCTGGATAGTAATTCGGTGTTAATGTGAACAAACTAAAGTAAGTTATCATAGGTGACATAATTAAAGTGAGTATTTAAAAGGTCAACTAGAGAGGAAAGAAGAGAGCTGGATAGAACAGGGAATTCTACTTAAGATCTATGGATTTGTAACTATAGTGGTGTGTATACAGACTCTAGGTTTAGCAGTACAGGATATCTGAGAGTGAGTCAAAAAGTGTTACTACTAGGCCTCCATTTCATACATGTATTTGTTTATTCCAAACAAAAATGTGTTTAAACATACCTGTGTGATCAGTGGATGGCTGCAAATGAGGTCTTTCAGGAATCTACTTACCTTATAGTCTTAGTCTCTGTGGAGTGTCTTCAAAAAGAACGATGCTCTTTGTGCCTTAGATGGAAAAAAAAAAAAAACAATTTTGAAGTCATGCCTAATATGCTCAAATTTAATTTAGTTACTTATCCTGTGGGATAAGCACTTGACTGCTAACCAACTGTGACTTGGCATCAGTCTTCTGTTGAGTGTAGTAGTGGGGTTCCCACTTCTGGTTTTTCTTTCTTGATGGCAGATCAAATCCACCAGCTGCTCATCAAACCCTATACATGGTCACTATGAGTTGGAACCAACTTGATGGCACTTAACAATTATGTTATTAGTCTCCCTACCTTAACCCCACTCCATCACAGCCTCAATGCTTAGAACAGTGTTAGTATACAGTAGTTGTTGTTGTTAGGTGCCGTGGAGTCGGTTCCGACTCATAGCAACCCTGTACAGGGTTTCTGAGGCTGTAAATCTTTACGGGAGCAGAACCACCTCATCTTTCTCCCACGGAACAGGTGGTAGTTTTGAACTGCTGACCCTGAGGTTCGCAGCCCGATTCATAACCACTATGCTACCAGTCGACATACTAAAAATGAGAATCTAACTTCAATGAATGAGGGTTTGAGTCAACATAGGTCTATACTTTTGAACCTTGAGACACTTAATGTAGAAAATTGGTTTATACGGAGTGCTTAAGGAGCCCTGGTGGCACTACGGGATAAGCGTTGGGATGTTAACTACAAAGTTAGTAGTTCAAACCCACCAACTGCTCCACAGGAGAACTATGAGGCTGTCTGCGCCTGTAAAGACTTAGTCTTGGAAACGCCTACAGAGGGTTGCTATGAGTCCGAATTGACTCGATGGCATTGGACTTGGGGATTTTTTTTTTTTTTTTTCTTTTTGGTTATGGAGTATTTAAGCTTGCATTTGATTATTTCATAGGAGAACATTTAGGCTTCTGGAGAATAAAAGAAAGTGGAAGAGCAAAAATGCAGAAAATGAAGAGGGAGAGTAGAGTTTCCTGTGCACCTTTGCCTTTCCCTGGGCTTTGCCCCTTTTTCTCTCCATAGACATTCTACTCAGCCCTTAGAAAGCTAGGCACAGAGTTATTTTTTTGTGTGGTTGCTTAGTGTGAAATCTTAGAAATTTTTTCCAGTGAAGAATCTTAGTTATAGAAATTAATACTGTTCATTTTTCCTCCTCATTGAAGATAATAGTGGAACTATGGATCTGTTTGGAGGTGCAGATGATATCTCTTCAGGGAGTGATGGGGAAGATAAGCCACCTACTCCGGGACAGCCTATTGTAAGTAAAATTGCTAATATGAACTGGACCCCTTATTCAAGGCTGAGTAAAAGTGTTAGGCTAATGTTGACATCTGACTTGTGATTTAGAAATACAATGAATAGACCGTTTTCTTTGTTAATTATGTAAGGAAGGCATGATTGTAAGGGAGAGGAGAAGTAGCCTCCTGGTATGAGGTTGGTGCCAACCTTTGAGGGCTAAACTGTGAGGATCTGTGATTGAGAACCATTGATTTAAATGTTTTTTGTTCATGCTAAGAAATGTGTACTGTATTATTAATCTTCTCTGATTTTAACTGTTTAAAATTTATCACAAAAGAGATTGTTTTTTTGTATTGATGCATCCAAACCAATCTTTTGGGAGTAGGTGGGAGAGATGGAGGTTGAGGATTACTTTAGCTCTACAGTGATGTCTAACTATGCTGTTGTGCACTTAGATCATTAAAATGCAGAGATTGAGGTAGGTCATTTCTAAGATCCCACCAACTTCTAAAATTCTGTGATTCTTTTATTAGGATGAAAACGGATTACCTCAGGATCAACAGGAGGAAGAGCCAATTCCTGAGACCAGAATAGAAGTAGAAATACCCAAAGTAAACACGGATTTAGGAAATGACTTGTATTTTGTTAAACTGCCCAACTTTCTCAGTGTAGAGCCCAGGTAAAAGGATCAATTAAAGTTTTTCTAGATGTTGACTAGAAATATGTGGAATGTTGATATTTTTATTTTACATGAGTTGACTCATCATAAAAAAAATGGAGATTCCTCGTGTATCTCTGAGAAAATAAGTCAAGCATCTTCATACTTGTTACAAAAAAGTATGGGCTGTTGGTAAGGAAGGCTTTTAACGATTATTTTTAGCAGTTTTTTACTTTCTTCTGAATTAACAGACATTCTAAGTCTTCAATGTATTTTTGATTAGTGAGGCCCTAAAAAAGCTGAGATTGAGAGTGAGGAAGTTTTGGGGTTTTTTTTGTTTTTTTTTTTAAGAAAAGCTGCAAATGTCCACGGTAGAAGCTGCTGTGGCTGCAGAACAGCTAATGGTTTAGGACCATTTAGGGTCAGTGGTTAAAGTGGGGACCATCACTGTTCACTAACTAACATGCCAGCTCTTGCATGATTTAAATGTCTCCCTGCCACGCAGAATGATGTGGAAAGCTAGAGCATGTGTTGTCTGTGCCTTGGAAGTCTTCCATAGAGTGCTCTGAATATTTTGGCTAGCTTTAATTTTATTTTGCTGGAAAAAAAAATGAGACTTTCTGCTCCCATAAAGATTTATAGCCTCGAAAACCCTATACAGGGTCACTATGAGTTGGAACCGACTCAACAGCACTTAACAACAACAACACTTTCTTTGTCGGGGCCCTGGTGGTGCTGTGAAATAAACCAGTTCAGTGATTTAGAACTCACCAGGTGCTCCATGGGAGAGACATGAAACTGTGTGCTCCTGTAGAGATTTCCAGTCTTGGAAACCCTACAGAGGGTCACTATGAGTTAGAATCAACCCAGTGGCAGTGGGTTTGGTTTTTTGGTGTTTGTTATACTTTATTTTAAGCAATATGTATTAAAACCTAATTTTAAGAAAGTATAGTAATTTGAATACTTAAAAGTTGAACATGAAGATATTTTATAACGATGGTTTAAAATATTGTTAATGCTTCAATATATTGATATGTATTAATAGAGATACTATTTCTTAGCAGTATAAATAGCCCTTACCAAATATAATAGTTTTTTTCAAAACAATTTGCAGACCTTTTGATCCTCAGTATTATGAAGATGAATTTGAAGATGAAGAAATGTTGGATGAAGAAGGTAGAACTAGGTTAAAATTAAAGGTACCGCTCTATGCTTTATTCCGTTTTTTTCTTTTAAAACCTGGACTAACTTGATACTTGAGCTTTTGAAAGTGAATTAAAAAAATTTTTCCTTTTCTGTCAACAGATTAATTGCCTACCTTCTCAGAATATTTTTAGGAAAGAAAATATGTACCTATTCCTCACTTATAATATGCGTAGGTTCTAAAGACCAGATCGGCAAGCAAAAATCAATATATGCAAAAACTTCAAAGACTAAATGTTCCCTTCAGGTTCCAGGAGTCATTTCAGGGCTGCCCCTTCCCCACAGCCTGCATGTCTCAGCACCACCTCTGCACTGTGACTTTAGGTAGACAGGCCAGTTTGTGCCATTTTAAACCACAGGCAAAACTGATTGGGTCAGGATTTGCAACCAGGAGGAGACCCATCCTACCAGACCTATAGGAGTTTTTGCTCTCCGTGGGAACACACACACACCCAGGACCATGGTCTCCTGGCCCCAGGGCCACTTTAGTGGATCCTGGGATTTGTAGGGTCAGGATCTGCATTATGCATTAGGTGACCACTGAGTGCTGTTTGTGGCCCTCTCTGTTGCCTTCTCAGCCCAAGGCTACAACTCACTTTAAAAGCTGGGGCAGCCACCAGACTCCCAAGTCCACCTGGGAATCATTGAGGTTGTGATAATGACCTGAGGACCTGACATCTGGCCTTTTAAAACATTTTCTCTAACTGGTGGCACTGTAGGATAAACACTGGACTGCTAACCACAAGGTCACCAGTTTAACCTACCAGCTGCTCCACGGAAGAAAGATGAGGCTTTCTGCTCCTATAAGATTGACAGCCTCAGAAATCCTATCTATACAGGGTCACTATGAGTCAGAATTGATTCAACGGCAGTGGATTTTAGTGGATCGTTTCATTCGCATTCAAGATTGGGTAGAGGGGTGGGATGGGAGGGAACTAGGACTCATGGTTCAGAGGGAGGCACGCTCTCATTCAAAACACCTGATTGAAGTAGATTTTTTACTACTGTTATGAATGTGAAGGGTTGCCTGGTGAGAAAATCGATCGCTACCTGAGGAGTGGGTGTAGAGCTTTTTCTCTTTATTTTGTTTTATTTTGTGCCTTTCCTCTAGCTCTTTCTGTTAAAGATGCCACTTTTTTACTTTTCTGTTGTTATACTTTCCCCCCCTCTAAATTTTATTTTGTTGTTGTTAAGAATATACAAATCAGAATGTCTACCAATTTGACAGTACAATTTAGTGACATTGATAATATTCCTTGATGGTCATACATTTTGTATTCCTACCAGCATTGGCTTAAGGGTTCCTTCCAATTTCCCCACATCCTCATCAACATATCTTAGTTTCTATTTTGTTTCTTTTGTGGTTTTGATTTGCATCTCTTTGATGGCTAATGAAGGATCCCTGGTGGTGCAGTGGTTAAGTGCTTTTATGCCAACCATAAGATGAGTGGTTCAAACTCACCTAATGCTCATTCTGCAGCAGAAAGGTGTGGTAGTCTATTTCTGTAGACTGCAGTCCTGGAAATACCATGGGGCAATTCTCTGTTTTGTAAGTTTGCTATGGTTTGAGTTACGTGGTCTTTTGTCGTAGATGTACTTTCACATGTGCTCTGTACCAGCAAGCTGAAACTGTAGCAGTGTGTTTTGTCATAGCATCATTATTACTTGAATCACCTTTCATCATAGAAGACACTTTTCAGTATAGCTGGCCAATTACTAGTCTATATGTGCTGGCATATATATTTATATGTGGCGCACTTGTATTTTGTGGTAGGGAAGACAGGACTAGTAATGGATTCTTTTGTTCTAATTATTGATTAAGGAAATTTTCAAACGGCTACAGATGGAATAAAATTTGTACATTGCACTCTGCTGTACTTTTAACAGTAGTCAATGTGTCAACTGTTTTCCTGGCCCTATTTTCCCAGACTATTTTGAAGCCATCTCAAACATGACATTATATTTAATTAATAAATATTGTTGAGTTCTTTAACCAGCTGACTTTATAGCTAGTTATCTATTTAGTTAGGATTAACAAAAAAGGAGAAAGAAAAAATTGCAAGGGAACTTTTAGGACTCAGTGGCAAAGATAGTGGCAGCGAACAGAATAAGAGACCCAGAAAATCCAAAGGTGAGTAGAAGCAGCTGTTTTTAAGGTAGAGGGTAGGGGAGTAGCCAGGGGGAGCATGGTCTTAGATCTGTGAGTGTTCAAAATGTTGACATCTATTTGCTGCTATCTTCATTATTTTTATCCTTGTGTTTTGTTTTTAATTATTGTTATTCTAGTGCATTTCCAGGAAGCAGTTGTAATGAGAGGCATTTCTAGATGTCCCACTGACTGTATAAATTTCAGTAACAATGTTTTTCATTTCTAGAAGCTCTTGAATGTTTTCCAGATCTGTTTGGGATTTTAAGTAGTGTTTGCCTTTTCCTTATAATTTATCTATTTTTGTGTACATCTTAAATATGTTTAAGCATAGTTTATAATTATAATTTCTGTTTGAGTTTTCAGCAACTCAGTTATAGTATACTGCTATACCTGCTAGTTTTATTTGCTGACGTGTTGGTACTCACAGGGTATGGTCTTGAATGTGTTGTAATTCTTACTTGTGACCTCACTTAAGTGGCACTTATTTTTTTCTGTGAAATCTAGGTTTCTGTGGCTTGGGTTTGTACCATGTTTCCCCACAGTGGTTTTATATGAGTCTCTGACACTCTGCTAATGTCAGGCAGCTAAGGTTAGATTTTAAATCTACTCAAACATTGAGCTTTAACTTTCCCAGGGTACTTATTTTTTTTTTCCTTATTCATATGCGGGGAGCTTTTCTGTCTTTCTAGACTCGTAAGTCAAGTTCCTTTCCCCAGTTTTCATATGATTTTTAGCCCTGTGAGAGAGAACCTGCTTTGTGTAGTGGGCGCAGTTCGAAACTGCTGGCTCATGGGCACAAACCTTGTTTCCTCCTGTACCTCATAGCTCTTACTGGGTTTTACAGCCTCCTGGAGCTACTGCAGAGTTACCATCTGCTGAAATGTTCTGGCCTCCACTTTCTCTGACTTCAGCAGTAGGGGCTCAGAAAGTTTAAACTTTTTTTTTTTCCCCTATTACTTAATTCACCATCTTTAGGTAGTTGAAGCAAGAGTGTTTCATTGTTGTGTATATATCTATCACTACCTGTCTAGGCTGATTGTGTGATTATGTGTCTCTTCAGGAGAAAAGACACAGAGTCAGTTAAACTCCAGTTTTCCAATGCGTTTCTGTTTTGAAACAGGTAGAAAATACCATACGATGGAGGATACGCCGGGATGAAGAGGGAAATGAAATTAAAGAGAGCAATGCTCGGATTGTCAAGTGGTCAGATGGAAGGTAAACACAAATTCCTGGAGTGGATTGAAAGATCTAGAATGTTGCTAGGAGGGATCAAGTTTTGTAATAAGATCTTATTATTTTCAGGCCATCTGGTATGGTGCTGTGTGTTAATAGTCTGGACTGCAAAGTTGGTTTGAACCACACGGTCAGTGGTTCAAGCTTACTAGCCATTCCTTGGAAACCCTATACAGGGTCGCTGTGGGTCGGAACCGACTTGACTGTACTTAATAACAATTGTGAAAGAATAATCAACTGAATGACAAAGAAAGCCTGAGGAAAAATAAATGTAGTTAGGGCAGACACTAAAAGTATACCTAAAATACGATCATTCTCATTGGCTGTAGCATATTAGTTTGGAAGTTCAATGATTAGCACTCACCATTGCTTACTGCTCCCTGCCAGTGATTTAAAAAAAAAAAACTTTCACTGTAAACATAGTTGTTGTTGTTAAGTGCCATCGAGTTGGGATCTGACTCATAGCGACCCTGTACAGGGTTTCCAAGGAGCAGCCGGTGAATGGCCCACACCGACGTTGCAGTTTACCGCATTAACTGGCAACGCCACACCAGAAGAGACTGGGTAAATGTTACAGCATTGTGCATTCTACATAGACAGGCAGTTTTCCACACCATGTCTTCTTTATATTCTTCAGAATTCAATGTCAGGAGAAAACATAGCAGTTCATTTACATTTGAAGTGAAATAGAAATGGCAGAATGAAGTCTTTTTTAAAAACTTTAATATGTGTCATGTTTCTTATTTTCAGCATGTCACTGCATTTAGGCAATGAAGTGTTTGATGTTTACAAAGCTCCGCTGCAAGGCGATCACAATCATCTGTTTATAAGACAAGGTACTGGTCTACAGGGACAGGCTGTCTTTAAAACCAAGCTCACCTTCAGGTAACTATTCTTGTCAGCCTATTACTTTACAGTAAAAGCAGAAAACTATAGATGGCGTTCAACATGCATGATTGATATAACCTCCCAGTATAGTTCCCAATTTAGGACCAAGTTTGGTCTCAGTTCTGGAAGAAGTTCAAAGACTGTTTTTCTCAAGTGTACTTGAGAAAGTGGCTATTTTCCAGAGAACCAGGTCATGCTAACCAAACATATAAGATACTTTTAGATAAGCCAGAACAACATGAATTTAAACTCCAGTGATTACTGATTGTAACTGCCTAGAGGAGTAGAATACTTGTCTCTGCTGGTCACTGTGTTCTTTCTCTTTAGTCCTTTCTTCAGAGACAAGTGATGACTAGAGGCTGGTGTGCAGTCAGTCAGAGGGAAGGGAAGGAATTGATTGATGTGAAAGGCTGAGTTTCTCCCATCCCCTAGGCTTCTCCATCTAGTTCCACTGCAGAAACCCATCTCCTAAGCAGATTGAATACTCAGGCTGCTGCGGGGAGGGCACTCCGGGGAGGGCTGTGTAGGAGCAACACTGAAACATTCATGTTTGTTTTTCTTTTCTTGATTCTAAGCAGACGGTCCCCTTCAAGGAAGGTTTGTCTATAGCGGGACACAGTACTGTTGATTATGATTTAACTTTTTGAGAATTGGAATCAGATACACTTGTATTTAAACCCATTTCCACTTGTGTCCCAGTGCAGTTTTCTTAGCCTGTCTTAGCCTCAGAAACGAAAACCTATTGCTGTTGAGTTGATTCTGACTCATAGCAACCATATAGAATAGAATAGGACTGCCCCATAGGGTTTCTAAGGTTGTAAATCTTAAAATTTACACAGGAGCAGACTGCTACGTCTTTTTACCCACCGCTGGTGGGTTCAAACTGCCAGTCTTTCAGATGACAACCAAGTGCTTAACCACTGTACCACCAGGGAGCTCTCTCTTAGCCTCAGTATCCTATAAATTGAAGTTAGAGTTAGTAATAATTACTTCACAGGGTAGTTGTGATAATCAAATAATGTACAAAGCACATAGTAGCCAATAATGCTCCAAGAGCCCGTCCGTTCACTGCTATTCAGAGTCATCTGTTTTATTCTAGTCTCATTTCATGAAATGACAATGTCTCAGTGAGCCACAAAATGAAGAACATGCAGAAGCGTCACCTGGTTTATTCGGTTTAGTGGCCCTAGCTACTTTTTTGTGTGAATGTGACATGGTTGCTGGCCACTTGTTTTGTGACATGGTTGCTGGCCACTTGTTTTGTGTTATTGGTAGGACTGCCACCTAGATATATTTGGTAAACAGTGAGGTATTTTTGTTCACTTCCCAACAGACCTCATTCTACAGACAGTGCTACCCATAGAAAGATGACTCTGTCACTTGCTGATAGATGCTCAAAAACACAGAAGATCAGAATCCTGCCAATGGCTGGTCGTGATCCTGAATGCCAACGCACAGAGATGATTAAGGTTTGTCTGCTAAGCTTTCTCTTGAGATTTTTGGTATTTTGGGAACTGTATCTCCCATAATGTTTGTTCGTCTCTTATGTCTCTTCTAACTGACATAATCAGGGAGGAGTTGGATTCATTTCCTAAGCTTTTGCCAAACAGTGGGTAATGATGATAAAACAGAACCAGGACTAATGTTTTTTTTACCAATTTGGTAACCAACTGGTGATTAAAACACCTGATGATTAAAAATAATTAAATCATTTGTGTTCAGTTTGGAATCTGAACCAAAAATTAGTACAAATACTAGAGATTCAGTATCTAGGAATAAGCCCAGATTTTGAATATGAGAGTGCCTAAAGTAGATCAGACAAAGACTGTCCAACCAGTATACAAAAAACCCATTTGCCAGCAAGTTAATAGCGAGCCCATGGGTGCTCCATTGCGCTTTCAGTGGCTGACGTAATTGGATGTACAACACCAGAACTTTCTTCTGAGGTACATCTGGGTAGACTTAAATCTCCAACTTTTCAGTTAGTAGCCAAGCAAGTTAACTGTTTACAACACCCTGGGATGTCAAGGATTAAGTATAGGTGTGATTTGTAAGGTCAATTTATAAAATTGTACCTGGTAATTTTTTTCACCTGGTGACAGTTAGGTACCAATTCCATTCTGTGGCCCTGTCCCTAAATGATAGTGTGCGAACTCTTATTGACACCATGATCTCTGACGTTACTGAATGCAGTGACGCCTCCCGTTACTCCACCTTTCCATCTTTTACTCCTGCTCGAGCTCACCCATTGTCTGCCTACGTTGTGAGTTTGCATTCCTTTTTTCTTTTAAAAAATACTTTGTTGTGTGGAAGATTGTTTACACAGAAAATTAGATTCCCACTGAACAATTTCTGTGCATGTTGTTCAGTGACGTTGTTACATTAATTTTGTTCTGCTCATTCCATTCCCATAAATCTAACTTCCCACCATCTCCCTTCCCGCAACTGTCTCTTCTTTGTTTTAGGATCAATATTGACTGTTTGATCTCACACAGATGGTTTTTAAGGGCGCAGATACTCACAGGTGGTATTATTTATGAACCAGTCTGTTAACTTAGCTGAACAGGGACCACCAGTAGTGGTTTCAGAGTTTAAAGGTGTCTCAGAACAGTAGTCTCAGAGTGGGTTCACATTTCTTAACGCAACAGAGTGAGGCTTGGATAGTCCAGTTACCTCAGGGCCTTTCTTAGCTCATTTTAACCTCTGCTGGAGGTTTGTTCCTGGGCCCCTTCTTTTTCCTCCATCCCGTACCCCAATCTGCTTCTCGGAAACCCTACACAGGTTCCCTATGAATCGCAATTGGCAACTAACAAAAACAACGTATCTTTTTCATGAGCATAGGCTGCCTAGCCTAGATTTACTACTAGTACCTGATCCAGCAGTGCATGGGACGTTGGCTTTGGAGGCTGACTTTAATTCCCCATCTTTTCAGCTCAGGTAGGGAAGGTGCAGATTCGTTTTCCTATTGTTATAAGACCTCCTGGGACCATCTTTACAGTTTCCCCAAGTCTTCATTCCTTACCGTCTGTGGGGGGAAAAAAAAGACAAAGAATCAGCTATTTTGCTTCCAGTCTGTATTCTCAATGGCAATAATTTAAATTCTAGAGTTAGTATAGCCACATTACTACCACTGTTGAAACAGAGCAGTTGAATAGGAAGATCTTCAAAGAAATATCAGAATATCCCAGATTCCCTTAAATCCTGCCCCTGCCTTGTCAACACTAATGTGCAGAATGCCGGGCAGCTGTGAGCACATAGAGGCCCACCTTTGGGGTGTGAAGGTCTCCCCCATCCTCTGTTGTCTGGACTGTGGAGAACTCTCTGAGGTGAGAGTTCTGGATAGGAATATTTGGGAACCATGGTAGTTTGGTGGAGCTGGGGTTAGTCAGGGGTCAGTGACTCAGGGATGAACAGAAACTTTGATGCCCTAGGGAGTCAATTCAGGCTCTCGCTGGGCTGGATAAGTTGTCACAGGGCCGATAGTTTCTGCTATTTGACAGCAGAGGATGAGGCAGCTCCCAGGGACATGTCTGCACCTGTTCAGACTGGGCTGCTGGAGCGCGAGCCACACCTGCCTCCTCACCCTTGTACTACCATCACGTTTAAAACCAACAAAGCCATCTATGTGATAACAGAGATGTAATATGGAGAAAACTGTACTCTGAAGACATGTAAAATAGGAGATACTATTGGGAAGTCCTGGTGTGGTGCTGTAGGATAAACACTGGACTACTAACTGCAAGATCGGCAGTTCAAACTCACCAGCCGCTCCTTGGAAACACTATACAGAGTTCCTGTGAGTTGGAACCAACTGGATGGCACTAACCAACAACAACATTGGGGTTAAGTGTTTGCAGTGCTTTTTTTTTATTATTAAATAGAAAAATAAGTTCAAGTGAACACAAAAGTCATTTTTTAAGTTCCATAGTTTGTTTCTTCATAGAAAGAAGAAGAACGCTTGAGGGCTTCTATCCGTAGGGAGTCTCAGCAGCGTCGCATGCGGGAGAAACAGCACCAACGCGGACTGAGCGCTAGTTACCTAGAACCTGATCGTTATGACGAGGAGGAGGAAGGCGAGGAGTCGATCAGCTTGGCCGCCATTAAAAACAGATACAAAGGGGGCATACGAGGTAAGTTGGTGCAGAGGTTAAATCCTTTTTTTAAAAATGTTTTATTGTGAGTTATGTGATAGTTTATATGGGAGAACATTAGTTTTACATTCATCTTATCGTATATTGCTTCATTGCCATGGTTACAATCCCCTCCATGCATCATCAGCCAACCAAAGGGTATATACTATAAGCCTGCCCCCTGGCCATCAGCACACAGCCCCTCTCCCTCTCTGGATCTAAAGATCCCAGCCGCTCCATCTCTCCACATCATCATCTCTGCCTCCATCTCTGGTGTCGCTGCTTCTCTGGGTATGGTCCTGCGCTCTGCTCTTCTCCCTTGATGGTCCCAGGGACCTCCGCTCCTAGACTGAAGAGTTAATCACTCCCCTCCTTGCTACAAAACGTCTACCTTTACATTTCCAGCCCTCACAATCAGTCCTGATAACAGTTATTCACTATTGTATCACAAGAGACCTTGGGGTTTCTGAGACTAGAAATCTTTACAGGAGCAGATAGCCTCATCTTTTTCCTATGGAGCAGCTGGTGGGTTTGAAATGCTGACTTTGAGGCTAGCAGCGCAATGTAGACCCCACTCCATCACCAGGGCTCCTTATGTTATTGCACTTTCTGCTATTGCCCTTGTTCTTACAAAGGAAACTAATCATTGTGTAGTCACTTAGTTGGTGACCAGGGTGGGGGGTGGGAGGTCCTTGGACTAAGTTCATCTGACTTCAGATATGTCCAGCTCAGCCACAACACTGTGTCATCCAGAGGGTCTCCTCAGCCAGATGACCTGCTGAGAAGCAAACTAAAACTGAGGGAAGAAAACTTAGGCTGGACTCCTGACCTTGCCTGCTCTAATCTCAGCTCTGCCACTTTTTAGTCGAATAGATTTCAGAAAGTTACATAACCCCGTAACAGTTTGTCAACTCATCAGGGAAAAAAAATCCCTATTTAATAACAGTAGTTACACTAGCAGGGTGTTCTGAGGATTGAATACCGTGATGAACATACCAAGTGCTAAATAAATATTATGTAAAACCATCATTACTGGGCTCACCACTCATCAGCTCTGCACAAGTAACTTCACATCTCAAGTGGAATATCACTTGCCTCATCTATTCAGTGAGGCTCTGAGACTTGCCCTGATTCACTTTGCCAGAGCTTGGGAATCACTGTATGATGTGAGGTCTGCCTCGACCACGCATGGTTTTGCCTTGGTAGACTGATTCAATTTATAAGAATACTCAAACTTCCCTCTCTCTGGCCATCCTACAAACCTCTACTTAGAGTGATTGCATTGTTCTGATGAGCTGCTGTACATTTGGAACTAAGTGACACAAATGGTTAAGTGCTAGAACCACCTAGAGGCTCCTCAGAAGACAGGCCTTGCGGGCTGCAGCCTTATGCTCGAGCCTCCACGAGTCCACAGCCACCACGTAGTAGAGAGATCGTCTACCTTTCATCAGTGCTCCTTTCCCACGGGAGAAGATTAATTGTGAAAATAAACCACACTAAAATTAAATGAAAAAAAAAAATTAAATAGGTCTTTTGAGTGAGAGGTGGTATATAAATGTTAGTTCATCAGAGAGTAAAAACTTAACAGATCAGTTTATTAGCATTCCAGTCCTATATTGAATAATCCTAGACTGCGTAAGAGGAAAGCTTACAGGTGAGGACATGTGGCTCTTATTCCACGCTGAGATTTACCCCAGTTTGGCCATCAGACACTTAACTCTGCCTTTGCAAAGTCCACCTGGCAACAAATGGTCTTTACAGGACCAGAAAACCACCTTTCTGCTTTTATCTTCCAAGTTTATTTTAGAATGAACTATTATTCCCTCTGAAAGAATGACTCAGACTTTGATAGAGTTTTCTTTTAATTTTTCTTGTGAATTGAGTGAAGGTTAACAGACAAGATCATCAGCTTTACATTCAACAAAGTATTTGCTTTGTTTCATCTCAGTGATTACAATTCTCTACCTGCAAAAAGAGTTGTCCTACTTCCTCCCTGTGGCTTCCCTTTTATGTCTTATATTTCACAAATGAACAAAGCAAAAAGGTTTGATGTAAACAGACAAAACAAAAAAAATATTCATTTTAATGTCTGAAGGGCATATTCTGTAAGCCAGCCCTCTGCCCCAGGCTCACAGCCTTGCTCAGTCCATGGGCCAAGAGCCCACAACTGCTCTATCTCTCCATGCCATCACCTCTGCCACCATCTCTGCAATTGCCACTTTTCTAGGTAGGATCTCACGCTCCACTCATGTTCATCTTGATGGTTCTGGGATCATGTGTTCCTGAAATAAAAGATTAACTACTCCCCCATTTTGGTTACATATTTTCTTCAATTACAGTTGTGACAATCACAATCTTGCAAACAGTTATTTACAATTGAATCATAAAATCCTATTAGCATCATCTACCATCCCCTTTCACCAGATCTATCTTGGAGAAGAGGAAAACTATTCAGTGGGGATTCTATATTACTCCCCTTATTCTAAAACTAAGCACATTCATGAAAGCTTGTAAGCCAGCCAGTTTGTGCCTTGATAGCCCCCCATTTTTCATAGCCAATGTCTAGATTGCCCATCCTATCAACCCAGTACACTGAGGAAACAAGCTGGTTACTTGGTAGGAAGAATCCTTTCATTCGGTTGAAATTTTGAGCAACTGCATCCATAAGCAAAGGTCCAGTTCATCAAATTGTAGCAATTTACACTTGCTTACGGTATCAGGCATCTTTATCTTTATCTGGTCGAGTTCTGGTCACCTAGCCACCCAAGCTGGGTCAAGTAGGTACTGGTTGCAAGTTTGGGAGTTCACGCATGCCTCCCTGCACTTCAGAACAGCTGGCCACTTCATTCTCGGCTCTAGCCTCCAGGGGCTAGGCCAATGCCCATGGGCTCAGGAACTCACCCATCTCCCTAAACTTCAGACCAGCCAGGCCTTCCTCTTCTCTCATCTTGAGGTCAATGAATGTCAGTGGAATATGGCCAAACTCAACCCATGTCTTCATGCTGCTTTTCCCCATTTCCACTCACATGTAGACCTAGGTGGTCACCAGTGGTCATACTAGACTGCTGGCGGGTTCCCTTTGAGTTTCAGTCTTAGTAGGGGGTTTTCCCTGATGGGTTGACTTTTCTCACCTTGATGCCTCCAGAGCAAACAGCTTGCTTGATATTCTAACAGCCAAACTGTTGCTTTTTCCCCCTGCAGGTCTGATAGTTTTCTTTTAAAGAATAGAGAAGTCTGTCCTTTTTGGCTTTAAAAGTGGTCAGATGAACTTTATTTTTCAAGAAGAAAAGTCTGCTTTGTTTAAATATATCTAACAATGTTTATCTTTAAATTAAAAAATTGAAAATTATTTGGTTCTTCTGGGGAAATTTTACAGAGGGCACTAAGAAGAACATTTTAGCAAAGACTAGTCACCATCTTTGAAAGTTGGTCACTCTCTATTTTCTTCACTTTCAGAGGAACGAGCCAGAATTTATTCTTCAGACAGTGATGAAGGTTCAGAAGAAGATAAGGCTCAAAGATTGCTCAAAGCCAAAAAACTCAACAGCGATGAGGTAAGGTCAAGTTTTTTCTATTCTGATTTACCATCTACCCACGAGGTACTAACTCATGAATGAAGGGGAGCTCAAAGACTAGTCAGGCATTCAGCTGTCTATAAAAATTATTGAAATTCAGTGAGATAAATGCAGTAGCAGGATTAAGTGGATCTGAGGAGGGCCTGATACCTGTGCTTGGGTAAGTCTTGGGAGGCTGCGTGAAGGAGATCTCTCAGTGGGTTTTGAAGAATGAATAGAAGTTTGCAGAGTGCACAGATCCTGGTGGGGCAGTCAAGGTAAGTGGAGAAACCTGCAGGAAAAGGCTTGGTGTCTGACAGCAAGCCTCAGCTAAAGAAAAACCCACTGCTATTAAGTCGATTCCAATACCTTATGAACTTATAGGATAGAGTAGACCGGCCCCATAAGGCTTCTGAGATTGGAAATGTTTATGAGAGCAGACAGCCTCATCTTTCTCTTACAGAGTGGCTGATGAATTTGAACCACTCACCTTGAAGTTAGCAGCCCAGTGCTTAACCCACAGTACCACTAGAACTCTGTAAGCCTCATCTGTTGTTATGTGCTGTTGAGTCAGTTCCAACTCATAATTATCCTATATAGGGTTTCCAATATCCTATATATGGGTTCGAACCACCAACCTTGCAGTTAGCAGTTCATTGCTTATCCTAGAGTGCCACAAATTGCTCAGTGTCCAGCAGTACCCTTTGGCATAAATTGCTCTGTAGTCTAAAAAATTAAAGTCAGGTGGCTGTTGGCTGTGTACCATGGGGTCGGTTCCAACTCAAAGTCAGGTAGGGATAGATTTTTAGGTCAATCTTTCAGGCTTATTCTGACCCCAGGAAGGCTCTTGTTAGCTTTGCCTTTTCCTGGTTCTTTTTGGTGTACCAACTGGTCTATGGTTTAGCTTATTGCTCTTAAGAAAGGGGAAATACTGTGTTTGAATACGTTCTCAGGCTTGAACTTCTCCACACTGTTTCAAATAATGTCGGCTCCTTAGTGAAGAACTTCAGAGCTTTTTTCTTATGGACTGTCTCCCTTCCTGGGCAGAGTCTCTGAGCTATATCTGTGGGCACTAAGTGGGGCAGTACCTCTGGTTATCTCTGCTTGCCTCTTCCATAGACTGGTGAGCAGGGATGAGTGTGACCAGAGACCCAGTCTTCTTGGGCTGCTAAACCTAAAGTAGAGCTTATGTTCTATGATTTGTGAAGGAAGAGAACACCCAGATTCTTGGCTGCACTCGCTAGGAATTTAGTCTCTTCAACTTGGAATTGTTGCCTCTCCTAGTGAGATGTTGTATCACTTGATTAGGATCTAAGGATAAAGAGCCCGGTTTTCTTGGCCACCCCACACTGGGTGTAGAAGTCCTGTCAAGCTGAGATGAGAGGGAAGCAAAGGAGTGGGCCATAGTTCAGATACCACAGAGTCTCGTAGATTTTCTTGAGTAAATGTTTCTTCATTTGTGGTGTGTCCTTAGGGCAATTTCCAGATACTTAAGTTTTTTTGTTTTTTTTTTTAATTCATTTTTGTTATGTTTGGTTTTTTCTCTATGGAGTGGTTCCATAAAGCTTCTAATACTGCTATCCTGGAAATCAAAATCATCATTTCTCTTAATAGCTGCCTTTCAGATCTTTATCTTTGTTATTCTGGAATATAGCTGTGTGCTCAAATTGGAATTTCAGTTGGAAGTCATTGGACTTCCTTAGTCTGTGGGTTATTTGCTTTCATCAGTTCTAAAGCGTCCTCTGCCAACACTCTTCCATTATTCTTTGTTAGTCTCTCTCTCCTTTACTTCTGAAACCTAAGATTAGAAGCATGGGTCCTCCACACTCAGTCTCCCACAATTCTTCAAAGTTTCAGATTTTCCATGTCTTTGTCTCACTGCATTCTTAGGTATTTCTTCATGTCATCTTCTAGTTCACTGTTTCCGTCTTCAACTGTGTCTAATTTTCTCGTTGAGTTTTTAAGTGTTTTATTTTTTCATTTCTAGAGGTCCTGTTTCTTTTTCTAATCAGCATTTCCAGTTTCTAAAACTTGCACTCCTATAATTCTCCATTTTACGCCTTTAAATACTTTTAACCTATATATGTTGTTTTATAATAGAAATAAAATAAAACCTATATATGTTGTGTTTTCAGCGTCTGAAAGTTTTACATCTCTGATTTTACAACCTATTGTTTTTGCTGTCTCTATCCATGATTGTGTATTTCTTAACATGTTTTGTGATTAATTGATTTGTTGAGCTCTTATCAGTTTGGAAATTTTTTGAGTCCTGCATTGGTGGATTTCTGCAAAGATATATACAGGTTTCCTGTGCGATTCAAAAGGAGAGCACTCCTATGAAACCTGTCATAAGCAGAAATGGTGCCAAGGGAAGATGTGATTGCCATTCATTTGTATGAGAAAAATTGCGCAGGGTTACAAGACCCAAAAAGGAACCTGACAAATCCTACCAATCATCTCAGTAACAAATAGTGTTTGCAGACATAGTTCACAGCTGTTGATGGCTTGAGGCTGTGTGCAGTTCCCAGGGAAGGGGCCTGGTGATATACCCTTCTCACTGCTTCAGTGTGTGCAGCCTCTTCAAGGGCTGGTTGCAAAACAAACGTAGAATGCTAGTTTCGCTTTTTGCCTTTTTTCATAAAAGTGAAAATCTTCAGATTTCTTTCAGTTAGTGAAAACAGGTACTAATTAATGTAGGTCTTTTATAAAAGTGAAGTGGCATTAAGTGAACTTTTGAAAAGCAGAAAATACCTGTATTTATTTCTGCAGATTCTTTGGGCATCAGCAGCCTAGGGCCACTGTAGGTACAAGGTTTTGTCATCACCTAGGAAGTAGAAAAGTTTCAAATTAAGAAAGGTGTGCCACAAGTTTGTATTCTTTCATCATACTTATTCAACCTGTATG